ATAAACATATACATACATACATACAACAACACAACCCCCCTCCCCCCACCCACCCACACACACACAGCAAACCACCCCTCCCTCCCCCACCCTACTCTGATCAGTTAACTTCTCTCCATTCCCAAACAATGGAGGCAGAGCCCAAAAACACTGGAACATCCGGAACTTGTAACACCTACTGTATTCTTACTGTGTGAAGTCACCCCCAAGCATAAAGGGTGCCACAATCACCGCATATCACAGGCAACTGACAGATTTACACGGAAACTGATATAGTTGCCCATGCGCACAGTCCTACAGTCACATGATAGGCATTAATAAATCAGTTAACAGTCATGTAGACAGATTAAGATGGAGGATATCGTTCATTAAACCATCGTAGTGCTTTTTGGGGTCAGTCGAATTGCAGCGTCTCATCACCAAGGTCCACCCAAAGGCGAGCAGGGTATCTGAGAGAAGACCGCACATTTCTCTCACGCAGGCTGTTTCTCACCACAGAGAAGGCCGCCCTCCTCTTAGCGACACTGGAGCTGAAGTCAGGAAAGAGGAAAACCTTGCGGCTCTGAAAACCTCACAATCATGACTCTGGACCTCTGTTTCTCCCGCTGCTTCTCCGAGGGCATGGGGCCGATACGGTGAGCTCTATCCAGCAATGGAGCGGTCGGAAAGATATCCGATCCGAGGACATCCTGGAAAAACTTAGACATAAACGTGACCGGATCGCTCCCTTCTTCTTGCTCCGGAATACCGATGACCCGGAGATTGCAGCGCCGTGAATGGGACTCCAGGTCCTCCACTTTATCGGTGAGGTGTTTGTTAGCTGAAGCTAGCTGCAGCACAGTCTCTACCAGCATTACAATTCGGTCACTGTAATCATTCAGGTGCTGCTCAAGCTCGCCAATACGCCGTCCTTGTGACTCAATACCTGATTTAAAACTTTCGAAAGACGCGATAACTGGGGCCAGAGCCGAGTTAATAGCCGCTGTCACCTGCGCTGCGATGGTAGAAGTCAGCTCCGTGATTAAAGTTGCGCAGAGATTTTCTAAGTCCAGAGGGAGCTTGTTGCCATGACTCGCCGTACTCAGTGTAGATTTAAGTTTGCTTTGTCTTTCAGACGCCATAACTCCTTTCTGGTTATAATTGTAAACCAAGTACTCGAACACAAAGGCACTAAATGCCTCTGAAAAGACAGAAAAGGTTCAGGTTACCTGAAAAGCAGAACTAAAAGAGGAAATACTCGGGAGCTCTCTTCACGCGTGCCTTCTCCCTCACATGCTCAACCGGAACCCTCAGAAATATTTCTAAGATAAGAAATATAATGTCACTACATGATGCATAAATATTAGTTCATGCTTTTGTCAACTCTAGATTAGATTACTGTAATGCCTTACTGTCTGGATGTTTCAGTAGGAGCATAAAAAAACTCCAGTTAGTCCAGAATGCAGATGCTAGAGTCTTAATTAGAACCAGAGGATACGACCACATCACCCCAATCTTATCAACACTGCATTGACTCCCAGTGAAATCTTGCATTGATTATAAAATATTATTATTAACCTATAAAGCACTAAATGGTCTTGTGCCACAATATCTAAGCGACCTTTTGGTTTTATATGATCATCCACGCCTACTTAGATCAAAAGATACAGGCTATTTGACGGTACCTCGAATAGCGAAGGCTACAGCAGGGAGAAGACCCTTCACTTATAGAGCCCCACAGTTATGGAACAGTCTTCCTATTAGTGTCCGGGACTCAGACACAGTCTCTGGGTTTAAGTCTAGGCTTAAAACGTATTTGTTTACTCAAGCCTACCATGACTAGACTTTCTGTAACGCTAAGCACAGTCCTAACAATCTTTTCTCTCCCTCTCTCCTTTTGTCGAGTCACACACGATTTTATGGAGACACTAGAGATCCTGATCCTCTCTGCTCTCCAGACCTGCCTGATCCGTTTCCGATGTCCTACCTCTGGATGGAGCTCTCATCTACTCCAATTCCAGATTGCTGGGACTACAGCTGCTTCTAAGGCCAAACAGACTTCATATAAATCCATAATGAACTTTTTCACACTATCTGTTGTTACCCAGATGAGGATGGGTTCCCTTCTGAGTCTGGTTCCTCTCAAGGTTTCTTCCTCTTAACATCTTAGGGAGTTTTTCCTTGCCACCGTCGCCACCGGCTTGCTCAATTGGAATACATTCGCACTTTTAAAAATCTGTATACTGTGTTTATATGTTTCTGTAAAGCTGCTTTGAGACAATGTCTATTGTAAAAAAGCGCTATACAAATAAAATTGAATTGAATTGAATATTTAATGACCCATATGTGCATCATCCCCAAACTGTTGCCACAAAGTTGGAAGCACAGAACTGTATAGAATGTCTTTGTATGCTGTAGTGTTACAATTTTCTTTCACTGGAACTAAGAGGCCCAAACCTGTTCCAACATGACAGTGCCCCTTTGCACAAAGTGAGCTCCATGAAGATATGGTTTGCCAACACTGGGGTGGAGGAACTCAAGTGTCCTGCACAGAGCCTTGACCTCAGCTTCACTGAACACCTCTGGGATGAACTGGAACTCCCTCCTCACCAACATCAGGGCCTGATCTCACTAACGCTCTTGTAGCTTAATGGACACAAATCCCTACAACCATGCTCCAAAATCTAGTGGAAAGCCTTCTCAGAAGAATGGATGGTTATTATAACAGCAGAGAGAGAATAAATCTGGAATTGGATGTTCAACAAGCACATATGAGTATCCACAAAAATTTATAATGTATGTACATATAGAGTACATTATATACAGTACATGTAGTATAATATTTGCAGTATAATATCAAGCTACAACTTTTTACATCACATAATTTAATGTAACCCTCTGATTGGAGCCGCACATGTTCTCCCTTCATCCGTGTGGGTTTCATCCTGGTTTCATCCATTATGTTTGTCATTGCTGAACTTTCCACACAGGAATAACAAAGAAGAACTAATTAAGATAGCACCAGAATCCTTAAATATTTTAGTATAACCATTTCAATGTGTTTCAGTTACTTCAACTTCTTAAATGAAACACACGTACCGAGCGGCGCCTCTTCTTACCAATAGGGGGCAGCACATTATTTCAGTTTTTAATCACCTTCCATGTACAGTAATTGCCCCTAACTTCTTGAATAGGAACAGTGCCTATTATTACCACTAGGGGCAGCATGTTATTTACATTTTTATCAGCTCTTATGTAATAGCAGCACTATTACACAGTAATAATATATTAAAATCGGATTATTGCGGTATCTTTAATAAAAAAATTTAATAAAACTATCATAGGCGCTGCTCAGATTTGAAGGTAAATCATATACAGGTGTTAACTCTATTGTGATTAATTAAAATGCTGCTTTTTTGTTGTTATATTTATTCACATTTGAGATATCCTGCAAAGAAATGTGTATTAATGAGGCTTGTAAAGTTGATTATCTTATCATGACATGACCTGATAGGACAGTGAGCTCCACGTGCAGGTCATCATACCATCCGGTTGTTTTGTTTTAGTGGGGTTTTTGTGTGTGTTTGTTTTAGTTTTTATTTTTACGACACCATTTTTATGATATTGTCCAAAACGAGGTTATCACACGGTATATAAGTTGTGCGGTCAGTGGTTTAATGTGTCACAGAGTGTGTGTGTGTGTGTGTGTGTGTGTGTGTGAGTGAGTGTGTAAAAGTGTAAGAGACGAGCAGCGGGATTTTTCTCTCTCGTTGCTGTCATTGCGGCTTTTCGGATCACATTGCGACAGAAGAGACGGAGAACCATGTACCACTTTCCCATCCTCTTTACGGCCGTGTGTTTGGCTGTTTTACTGAGTAATGCCCCTGGGTTTAGAGCTGAGACTCGCAATGATTTCCTCCAGGATATTTTTGCGGTTTACGGTCAGAACCGGTTATTAGACATTAACGGGATTAACACTTTACTGGAAACGGTTTCCCAGGGAAAGCCGGCGGCGCTGGACACACTCACTGCGCATGCGCAGGTAAATCCTCAACGCATCTCTCTCTCTCTCTCTCTCTCAATCTCTCTCCCTCTCTCCCTCTCCATCTCTCTCTCTCATATCAGAAATTAGGCAAGATATAATCTACTGTAATAACTTAATTAAAGCATTACCGTTAATTAGATTAGATTCGACTGGATACTGATATCTGTGGAAAAAGATTAGAGGAGTTGCTGGAAAATCCGCTTGATGCTTTTTATATGGCTGAGACAACATATAATTTATGAATTATTATCATGAGCTTGGACAATATATACCGTATATAATACTGATACAGATGAAAACCACTAATACCTTTCCTCGTCATGTTCTACGTAGAAAGGTATGCAGTGTAACCCTAAAAGAAGATTTAGCATACAAGTTAAATCACACTCAATTTTTTTTTTTACATACATTTTTAAAGTTTGGCACACTATATCCACGCTTCCAGATGAACCAAAGAACAGCTGAGCACCATTGTGTTCTAAAATGTGTATCTAAAAATGTATCATCTGAATACTGAAACCATTTCAGGGGGTGTGAAACCCTGTTTTACACATGATGTTATGGATCTGGATTAAATCCTGATGAAACGTTCATTTTATATATGCACACTTGTAGTTAAACGTGTCTCCGGTTATCTGGATGCTGTATTATGAATAATAATAGACAAATCATTAATTAATTCATTCATATTCATTCAACTTCAGTAAGAGTTTTATGTTGGTTGTTTTTGCTGTGAATCTGGAGACAGGAAAACTTGGCTTGAGGCAAGAATACACCATGGATGTGACATAATGACCATCACAGGACAACCTTCACACACTCATTCACACTTAGGAGCAATTCAGTGTAGACAATCCATCTACCATCATGTTTTTGAGATGCAGGAGGAAACAGGAGAATGCTGAGGAAATCCACACTATAGTGAGAACTTGTGAAACTCCTGAGCTCAGGACTGAACTGAGTACTCTGGCACGGGGGCATGGTGGCTTAGTGGTATAGCATGTTTGATTCAGACCTCCTCGGTTGGGGGTTCGAATCCAGCCTCTGCCCTGTGTGTGCGGAGTTTGCATGTTCTCCCCCCCGGGTACTTCAGTTTCCTCTCCAAGTCCAAAGACATGCTTCTAAATTGTCTGTAGTGTGTGAATGGGTGTGCGATTGTGCATTGGCATCCCATCCAGGGTGTCTCCCATGACCCTGTGTAGGATAAATGGTCTGGAAATTGGATGAATGGATAGATTCTGGAGTTTACAGCACTAACTGCTACATTTATATATGTTTACACATATCTGACGTGAATGTGTCTCATGTATAAGAGATGGTTTAAATTTGACATTTTTCCCTTCATGTCTCTTGTTTTGACCAGCTGCCGATTTCTCACCTGATTTCTCACCCTCTTAGTGTGGAACTGCAGAGGTGATACTTGCTGTCTACGGTCTCAGCAACCTGACCCACCTGGACAAGGGCCACCTGAGGACCATTTGCCCCGCCCTCCTAAACAGAGCACTGCTGCCCCCCTGTCCTCGATCAGCAGCTGAGACTAAAAAACACATAGAGGATCATGGTGAGAGAGTGAAGGGAGTGACTGAGTAAGGATGGTACTGAACAAGTGATTGAATTAGCAGGAGAATGATGACATGTGTAAAGAGATGTAAGGAGTGAATGAGTTAAGCTTTGAAAGTTTGAGGGGATGAATGAGTGAGGGAGGGAATGAGTGAGGCACTGAGAGATCAAGGGAATGAATGAGTGAAATCATGAATGAGTGAGGCAGTGAGAGATCGGAGGAATAAATGAGTGAAAGAATGAATGGGTGAGGCAGTGAGAGACTGAGGGAATGAATGAGTGAAAGCATGAATGGGTGAGGCAGTAAGAGATGTAAGGAAGGAATGAGTGAGGAAGTGGATGAGAGGCAGTGTGAGTTTGAGGGAATGAATGAGTGAAAGCATGAATAAGTTAGGCAGTGAGAGAGCAAGGGAATGAATGAGTGAAAGCATGACTGAGTGAGACAGTGAGTGTTTGAGAGAATGAATGAGTGAAAGTGTGAATGAATGAGGCAGTGAGAGATTGAGGGAATGAAGGAGTGGATGAGAGGCAGCTAGAGTTTGAGGGAATGAATGAGTGAGGGAGTGGATGAGTGAGACAGTGAGTGTTTGAGAGAATGAATGAGTGAAAGCATGAATTAGTGAGGAAGTGAGAGATTGAAGGAATGAATGAGTGTGGCAGTGAGAGATTGAGTGATTGAATGAGTGAGGGAGGTGATTAGTGAGGCAGTGAGAGATTGAGGGAATGAATGAGTGAGGCAGTGAAAGACTGAGGGAATGAATGGATGAGGGGGGAATGAATGATGCAGTGAGAGATTTCGGGAATGAATGAGTGAGGGAGGTGATTAGTGAAGCAGTGAGAGATGGAGGGAATGAATGAGTGAGGGAGGTGACTAGTGAGGCAGTGAGAGATTGAGGGAATGAATGAGTGAGGGAGTGGATGAGAGGCAGCGAGAGTTTGAGGGAATGAATGAGTGAGAACATGAACGAGTGAGGCAGTGGGAGATTGAGGGAATGAGTGAGGGAGGGGAGGAATGAGTGAGGCTGTGAGAGTGTGAGGGAATGAATGAGTGAGGCTGTGAAAGATTGAGGGAATGAATGAGTGAGGCAGTGATTGAGTGAGATAGTGAGAGATGGAGGGAACAAATGAATGAGGGAATGGACTGCCATAGTCTTATATAATAGCAGTTAAAATTGCATTCAAACATTTTCATAGATTCTATGATGTTTCTGTAGAAAAAAACAAAACCTAGCACTGAACTTTTGCATAATTTCTCCTCATACTGCACACTGTGTCGACTGGCACCTAAAGGTCACTTTCCCCCCTCTGTAGTGTGCAAAGCTTATGGTTTTGCCCTAATCAGTGAACCTTGCTCTCGTCACCACTCTCTGCAGGCTGATACGTAATCACCAGTAGTTTCAAACGGACACTGATTAGTTTATTGAGGTAGATACGTCCATCCACAATAAATGCTTCTCTGAGGTTAATGGGTTCTGTGAGCTGTTATACTGCCGAGAGGTTCAGTGTAACTTTGTCCAACCCACTTTGAGCAAAGTGTAATAAAATCAAGAAACTAGCAGTGCTCCAAAACAGCCAGAGAAATACAATGACTACCATAATACTGCTCCGATAAAACACAATTTGATTTGATATGAAGATGTAAAGTCTGAACAAAAGCACACAAGAATGCACTTGAATAATAAAAGGCTATTTGCAATTCATCATTCAGTTTTTATTCTAGTTTACCAGACTGACGGATAGAAAAATTAATAATGCCCTAAATTTGACCTGAGTTAATCTTCATGTATTTCCAGATTTGTGGTTATTCTGTCGTTTATATAAAATAGGGGTATAATAAAGAAAAATGCTTGGACCCCAATACGTCGCTGCAGATATATATTTTCTGTTATTTTACTCACTCAAATCACAACTTTTAAATCTGATTTATGAACATGTTCTTGATAATATACTATACTGAGTACTCTTATCTAATAGGAAACTATCACACCCTGGATTCAGCTGGTAATTTTAATATATCTGCTTTGATTCTTTCTAAAATATTTCATATCTTTATAGGTTTTGGTCCAGTATATTCAGATCTATCAGTAAGATGTTTTAGGCCATGCACAAGATCATGTGTCCTTTTTTTTCTGGCAAGACAAGTGATTTTTATGATATGGAAACAATCTCACAATTTCCTGTACTCAAACATTTAATAAGCCACAGGTGATATGACTGTTTACAGCTTGATAGAGCTATGCGCTGATATGATTTTATATAGAAGTACCACAGTATAGAAGCACAAGACAGCTGGGAAACACCCCCCTCCCCCCAAGAGTAGTACACTCGAGCAATAAGCAAGCTTTTTATGCATAACGTACAACTCCAATTTAGCACCCCTTTTATTATATTTAATTTGCTATTTGGGATATGAACCAACACCCCTCAGGAAGCAGCTTTACAGTATTTACACTCCATGCATGCACAGGGTTTAAGTGTTATCCCCTTATATGTCCACAGTATGGGGTTATGGTTTCCTGGCTGTTACCATCATCAACCTGGCGTCCCTCCTGGGTCTCATCCTCATCCCCTTCACCAAGAAACCCTACTTCCCTAAAGTGCTCACGTACTTCATCGGGCTGGCCATCGGGACGCTGTTCTCCAACGCTGTGCTGCAGCTCATACCTGAGGTTAGCCACATATTGTACACACTGTTTACAAAATGTACACAAAAAAACCTTTAAAGTGCATACGTAACGTAATTCAGATCATTAATAAATATCAAGTAGCTTCGTTTATTATTTATTTTTGCATGTGTGTGTGTAAAAAGTGTAAAAGCCATTTGAAAGCTTTTGTAGAAAAGAATCAATTTGCCTAAGATTCACACCACACTAATAATGGGGTATTATTCTGTCGTTATACTGAGTTAAGCGAATAATAAAACTTGTTGCAGGCTCTGGGGTTTGACCCGAAATTAGATAACTACGTCCTGAACGCTATTGGGATCTTCGGTGGATTTTATCTGCTGTTTTTCACTGAGAAGGTCCTGAAGATGGTCCTAAAGACCGACCAAGAGGTACGACTCTGTGTTTTAAAGCTCCTGATAAGTTTAAACTCATGTTATTACTACTGTATTAGAAATTAAGGCATTTGTAGTGTTTCATTCTATTCTATACAATTCAGTGCTATACATTTAGTACATGTATTAAACCATAGCACTGTTGAATTCTTTCATCTGATTGGTCAGAAGGTGTTGATGAATTTTCTTGAACAGCAACCCTGACAGTAATGTTGCTGTAATTCAAATCAAAGGTTTATATTAATGTATTCAGTCTAATACGTTATCGTTTTTATAGTAACAGCTCGTTTGTATTATTTATTTAAGTTTTAACCCATTTAAAGCCATGTTGGCAGAGGCAAGAACAATAAACAGCATACTTTTCTCAACCTACATTTTTGTGCTCCAGCATGGCCACAGTCATTTCAGTCCTCCCGAGGTTGTTCAGCAGAACGGAGCAGCCGTCATAGCTGTCACCAGCTTCAGCATCTCAAACAGCGACAAGAGCAGCATAACTTCAGAAGCTACGGTGGAACAGGTGCTACATTTCACACCTGTCCTAAAAACTAGTATGATGGTTCCTACATAACCATACATTCTACTCCTTACTTATTTATGATTTCTAAAAAATAAAATACTATAGGCAAGACTCATTCTTGATTTGGATTAAAATGACACAAGTGTTGCTAAATTGTCTGGAAAAGTGAGTACTGTTTTATTGTTTGAATGGCGTCATGGCACATACAATGTCCGTAAATGAGATCAAAGTTGATGTGTTGGAAGCAGGAAAAATGGACAAGCATTAGGATCTGAGTGACTGAGTGTCAGATTGTGACGGCTAGACGACTGGGTCAGAGCATCTCCAAAATGGCAGATCTTTTGGGGTGTTCCCATTATGCAGTGGTACCTACCAAAAACGCTCCAAGGAAGTACAAGCAGTGCACCGGCGACAGGGTCAAGGCTCATTGATGTGTGTTGGGAGCGTAGACGAGTCCGTCTGGTCCGATCCCACAGAAGAGCTACTGCAGCTATATGTTAATTATTAACACGTACATATAATATACATAAATCTGTGTGTGCATTTCATTGAAAGTCTCAAGCACAAACAGCACGTTTGAGTAGATACTACACCCATGGATGATCGTTAACTTTATCTGTGATCCATGCTATCTGCTTTTTCGCATGCTATCCCATTTTCAATCCAGTGGCTAATCAGTAGCCAACTCTCAATAAATGTTTGTTTGAGAAATTGCTCAACTACCACAAATCTATCCTATTCTGGTTGCTCATTACTTCAGATATCTCACCGTGGCCTTTAACATTAATGTAGCATATCTCAAACAGAGAATAGGAACGAAAAACATTTCAATGTGAGCAGTGTAACTGCAAATTGATTAAAAAAGAGGTACAACATGTTGTTCTTTAACAAATAAAGAATTGTAATTGTCAAATT